TATGAAGTCAACCATATATAAAGTCTTTCATGAAGTCCATCATATGTTCAGTCCCTTATGAAGTCCATCATGTATAAAGTCCACTGTATATACATTTCATATATAAAGTCTACCATATGCAAAGTCTCATATAAAGACTACCATATGTAAGCTCACTTATGAAGTCCACCATATTTAAAGTCCCGTATGAAGTCAACCATATCTCAAGTCCTATATGAAGTCCACCATATATAAAATCCCATATAAAGTTCACTATATATAAAGTGTCATATGTAGACCATCTTTTATAAAGTCAAATATTATGTTCACCATATATAAAGTCCCATATAAAAAACACCGTATGTAACGTCCCATATAAAGACCACCGTATGTAAAGTCCCATATAAAGACCACCGTATGTAAAGTCCCATATAAAGACTACCGTATGTAAAGTCCCATATAAAGTCCACCATGTATAAATTCCATATAATGTCTACCACATAAACAGTCCCCTATAAAGTCCACCACATATAAAGTCCTACATTTATAAAGTTCCTTATGAAGTCACTATATATACAGTTGTGCTCAAAAGTTTGCAGAAATTGATATTGAAAATATGACTGATCATGCCGAAAAATGCTCTTTTATTGAAGGACGATGATGATCATATGAAGCCATTTATTATCAAATAGTTGTTTGGCTCCTTTTTAAATCATAATGATAACAGAAATCACCCAAATGGCCATCAAAAGTTTCCCTCCCCTGGAATGTTTGGCCTTGGTACAGACACACAAGGTGACACACACGGGTTAAAATGCCAATTATTATTATTATACAGTATTTATATAGCGCTAAAAGGTTTGCTCAGCGCTGTACATTATAGTGGGGGACAGTACTTGAGACAATACAGTAACAAAACAATAAACGAGGGGTTCGAGGGCCCTGCTCTTTTGAGCTTACAATCTAGGAGGGAGGGGATAGTGGTACAGGAGGAAGTGGCTGTGGGCGATGGAGTGGTAGGAGGAGTGGAGGAGATCGGCTGTTAGGTGAGGGCGGGGTAGGCTTCCCTGAAGAGATGGGTTTTCAGGGTGCGCCTAAAGGTGAGGAGGGTAGGTGACAGTCTGATGGATTGGGGGGGTAGTGAGTTCCAGAGGATGGGGGAAGTCCTGGAGAAGTCCTGCAGTCCGGCGTGGGAGGTGGAGACCAGGGAGCTACAAAGTAGGAGGTCTTGTGAGGAGCGAAGATTACGGGTAGGGTGGTATTTGGGTATCAGATCGGTGATGTAGTTTGGGGCAGTATTATGAATGGCTTTGTATGTCAGTGTTAGTAGTTTGAATTTAATGCGTTGGGCAATCGGGAGCCCAGTGGAGGGAATGACAGAGGGGGGTGGCAGAAGCGGAGCGGTTGGTAAGGTGGATGAGTCTGGCCCCTGAGTTCAGGATAGACTGAAGCGGGGATAGTCTGCGACGAGGTAAGCCGGTGAGAAGGGAGTTGCAGTAGTCCAGACGTGAGATAATAAGGGAGTGAACGAGTTGTTTAGTAGTGTCTGGGGTTAGGAACAAACGTATTTTGGAGATGTAGCGGAGGTGGAGCCTGCATGAGTTTGCCAACAATTGGACATGGGGTTGGAAGGACAGGTTTGAGTCTAGAGTGACACCTAGAACTTTGGCTTGCGGGGTGGGACTGATGGTTGCGTTGTTGGTCGTGATGGAGAGGGTGGGTGGGGGGCCCGAGCTGGGGGGAAAATCAGGAGCTCGGTTTTGGAAAGATTCAATTTGAGGAAATGGAGTGACATCCAGTCTGATATGTCGTTCAGTAGGTGGGTGATACGGGCGGAAACTGAAGGGGTGAGGCGAGGGTGGAGAGGTAAATTTGAGTGTCATCGGCGTAGAGGTGATAGTTAAAGCCGTGGGAGTGTATCAGTTTGCCGAGGGAGGAGGTGTAGATGGAAAAGAGAAGGGGCCCGAGGACAGAGCCTTGGGGGACCCCAACAGAGAGGGGGTGAGAGGGGGAGGTGGTAGCATTATAGGTAACGCTGAAGGAGCATTGGGATATATAGGAGGAGAACCAGGAGAGAGCGGAGTCTCTGATGCCGAGGGAGTGTAGTTTATTAAGTCATTAGTGATTTTGAGTAGGGCGGTTTCGGTGGAGTGTAGGGGACGGAAGCCAGACTGGGATCAAGGAGGTTGTTGTCTGTGACATGGGAGCTCAGGCGATTGTAGACTAAGTGCTCAAGGAGCTTGGAAGTAAATGGCAGCAGGGAGATGGATCTAAGGTTGTTCAGGCCGGTGGGGTCCAGGAAGGGTTTTTTGAGTATGGCGGTGATGTGCGCATGCATGCGCATTAGGGGGGAGGGGAATGCGCCAGTAGAGGGGGAGAGATTGAAGATGTGGGTGAGGGAGCGTAGGATGGAGGAGGAGGGTGATCGGAAGAGTTGTGTGGGGACAGGGTCAAGGGGGCAAGTGGTGAGGCGGGCTTCTGAGAAGACCTTAGTGACCTCCTCAGGGGTAGCAAGGCTGAAGGAGCGGAGTGTTGGGGAGGTTATAGTGTGCGGGATGTTAGGTGTGGTGGGGGGTAGGGGGCGGTTGTTTGAGGTCAGAGGAGGGGAGAGTTGATGGGGTTATAGTGGGAGGAAGGCTAGGTGGGGAGGTAGGTTGAGCATTGTCCTAGAGGTTAATGTCTCACATCTGTGGCTTTTTAAATTGCAATTAGTGTCAGTGTATAAATAGTCAATGAGTTTGTTAGCTCTTATGTGGAAGCACTGACTAGGCTAGATACTGAGCCATGGGGATCAGAAATAACTGTCAAAAGTCCTGCGTAACAAGGTAATGGAACTTTATAAAGATGGAAAAGGTTCTGCATCTTTTTCCTTGGCCAATGGACCATACCTCAAGTCATCGAACGTACTGAGAATTTGCGTACGAATGTTTCTCTACATGTAGAGCAACATACCTCTACGTTGCTGCTTGTTTCTGGGTTCAGGTGGCGTGCACACCTCTCCTCAATGCCTACACCTGCTGTGATTAGACACAGCAGGATTTTTTAAGTAGATCCCGGCCAATGATTCATGGCCAGGACCTGTTGATCGGCTGTGTCCCATCACAGCCCAGAGCCGTGTTCACAGAGAGAACAATCTTTTTGTTTCTTCTCCCTGCAAAACAGGGATTAGAAACAAACAGATTTTAGTACAAATCAGTACACATTACACATTGCTAGGTACACAGATAACCCTTTGAACGCCCCTAAATGTTAACCCCTTCCCAGCCAATGTCAGTAGTACAATGACAGTGTATAGTATTATCACTGATCATTGTATTGGCATCACTGGTGATGTCAGTGTCAGTCAGTTGGTGTACCTCCCAGCTATTGTCAGTTTGTGTCAGTCCCACTATAAGTTGCTGATGCACCACCATTACAATATTACAAAATAAATAAATACAAATTCCAGTATATATATTGTATATAGCATAGTTTGCAGACACTATACTGGGATTTTTGTACCAAAGACATGTAGCAGAAAACATTTCGGCCTAAATGTATGAAGAAATTTTATTTTATTTAATTTTTTTACGGATGTTTTATAGCAGAAAGTAAAACATATTGGGTTTTTTTTTCAAGATGTTAAAAAAAATTTCTTTTATATAATAAAAAACACCCCCAGTGGTGATCAAATACTGCCAAAAGAAAGCTCTATTTGTGTGAAAAATTATATCAATTTCATTTGCGTGCAGCGTTGCATGACCGTTCAATTACCATTTAAAGTAGAACTGTGCTAAATAGGTAAAAATGGCCTGGGCTTGAAAGGGGTAAATCCTTCCAGAGCTCAAGTGGTTAAAAATCCACTAGTGTGTGACCAACTTTACTATGCCCTGATACCGGGATTGTACCCTGTGCTGGGCATGCGCTGCGGGTAGCTTGCAATTCCATAAAATTCAACCAGCTACAATTTTATCAAATTTTAAAGTGGTTGTAAAGGCTGCATTCTATGCATGAAGGTAAAAAAAGTTCTGTGTACAGCAGTGCCCCCACAGCCCCCTCCCCCCCACCCAGTACTTACCTGAGCCTGATCGTGATCCAGCGATGTGAATGACAGCCTCGGCTGTCCCGGGTTTCTGCCTCCTCATTGACTGAGACAGCAAACGGGAGCCACTTCTGTCAATCACAGCCAATCAGCCAATGAGGAATGAGAGGGGGTGGGGCCAAGCAGTAACTCTGTATTTGAATGGATACATGGAGCAGCAGGTGCCCCTATAGCAAGCTGCTTGCTGTGGGGACACCCAACAGAAAGGAGGAGCCAGGAGAGCCTGCGGGGGACCCGAGAAGAGAAGGATCCAGGTTGCTCTATGCAAAACCACTGCACACAGCAGGTAAGTACAGATGTGTTTGTTATTTTACAAAACAAAAAAAAATGAACCTTTAGGGCCGGTTCACACTACACGCGTTTCAGTTGCTTTTTTTCTGCATCTAAAATGCACTGAAAGTAGGTGATACGGTTGTCAATGTCGTAGTTCACATCAGTGCTCACAGTTCCAATGCGTTCCAGCTGCAGAAAAAAAAGTATATCAGGCTGCAATTTTTCCTGCACAGAATTGTACTGAAATGTGGTAAAACGCATCAAAAAGGCACCTCAACGCGCATGTCCCTATTTAAATTGAAGAAAGAGAGAGGGAAAAAAATGAACTGGAATGCATAAAAAATGCACCGTAACCAGGGGCAGACTGACAACTCATGGGGCCCCCGGGCAATAGGAGATCATGGGGCCCCTGTGTCCTTGCCCAAACTCAGAAAAGCCTATGAAAAAGGTACCAGGGGCATCTTATGGGGCCCCCTACTGATCCCGGGCCCTCTGGCAGTGCCCGAGTTTCCAAATGGTCAGTCCGCCCCTGACCGTAACGCATCAAAAACGCATAAAAAATGCCCCCTTAGAACCGCTCTAAGGTTAATTGAAGTAAAACACTTATGAGGTCTATTAATGAGAGCCGATATATATATATATCTTTGTCTTACAGGAACGTGTGCTGAAGCGATGGATATATATTCCTTTTTTATAGCACCCTAAAGCACTAAGGGCCAGTTCACACTACAAAAACGCACTCCAGATGCATTCCAGATACAAACCACACTTCAATCCGGTGCAGTTTTGATGCAGTTTGCCATGTTCCAGTATGGTTCTGTGCAGAAAAAATGCAGCATGCTCTACTTTTTTTCTGCACTGGAACCTGACTGGAACTGACTTCACTGGTGTGAACTAGGGCCATTGGAATACATGGAGAACACTGTGCATGCATTTTTGATGCAGAAAAAAAACACTTGACTGCATCTAGTATGAACTAGCCCTAAGGGCCAGTTCACACTACAAATCAGTCCAGATCAGGGGCGGACTAACCATTTGGAAACTCGGGCACTGCCGAGGGCCCGGGGTCAGTAGGGGGCCCCATGAGATGCCTCTGGTATGTTTTTCATAGGCTTTTATTGAATTTGGGCAAGGACACAGGGGCCCCATGATCCCCTATTGCCCAGGGGCCCCATGAGTTGTCAGTCTGCCCCTGGTCCAGATACATTCCGGATACATTTTTGCTTACAGTTCAAACCACCCTCTGTTCTGGTGCAGGTTTGATGCAGTTTTCCATGTTCCAGTACAGTTCTGTGCAGAAAAAATGCAGCATGTTCTACTTTTTTTCTGCATCAGAAACTAGAACTGACTGCACTGGTATGAACTGGAATTGGAATACATGGAGAACACGGTGCATGCATTTTTGATGCAGAAAAAAATGCACTTGATGGCATCTGGTGTGAACTAGCCCTAACCCTATGTTCACACCGAAGTGTTTTCCAGCTTTGCAGAAACTCATAACAGTCCATTTACATGATTTCCTATGGGACACGTTCACATCGCCGCGTATTCACCTGGTGCGTTTTTGGAAAAGGTCAGGGACTTTTTTAAATGCAAAAAATTGCATTTTTGGTTCTTTAGACTTCAGTGGAAACGCTGCAGAAAAGCATGTAGTGCATTTTTGATGCATTTTGATTTCAATCCACCTAGCAACAAGAAAAAAAAAAACAAAAAAAAACGCAAAATGCATCAAAAACACATGTGTAAAAATGTAAAAAGCACCAGAGAAACGTATCGAAAACAAAAACTGCATAGGTGTGAAGCTAGCCTAATGCAGGCCATAGCCGGGCCGTTTATCGGCCAAATTGTTGGCCGATAAACAAAAAATCGGTCGCTCCTGCCATGGATGCTGCCACCAATGCTGATGAAAAACGGCTGTTTTCGTGGATTTTCCAGCATGACCGATAAAAAGAAACGTGAAGATCCGCGAAAAACGTCCGACGGCATTGCCTTACTAACAGCGTGAATATCGGCCGATTTTTTCGTGCGGATGAAAATTCGGCCTATAAACGACCCATCTATGGCCTGCATAAGGCAATGCACAAGCGGTACAATGCACAGCACATCCTAGTGGGTTGTGGAGTATTGCAACAACATATTTGTGATTTGTCTGATTTTTGGGACAATTATTATGATTATTATTGTCATTATTATTATTATTATGATTATTATTATTATTATTGTCATTATTATTTATTATGATTATTATTATTATGATTATTATTAATATTATTAGGATTATTATTATTGTCATTATTATTATGATTATTATTATTGTCATAATTATTATTATTATGATGATGATTTATTTATTCTGATGATTATTATTAATATATTATTATTATTGTCATTATTATTATTATTATGATTATTGTCATTGTTATGATTATTATGATTATTATTATTGTCATTATTATTATTGTTATTATTATTATGATGATGATTATTATTATATTATTATTATTATTGTCATTGTTATTATTATTATGATTAATATTATTATTATTGTCATTATTATTATTATGATGAAGATTATTATTATGATGACTATTACTATTATTATTATTATTATTATTATTATACAGGATTTATATAGCACCAACAGTTTGCTCAGCGCTTTACAATATAAAGGGAGACAATACAGCAACAATACAGTTCAATATAAGAGGGTTAGGAGGGCCCTGCATTGATGCAAGACATGACAGATAAGCATTGATGCACCATAAATATTTTCTAGGACTAGGTTCAGACGTTTAATGTTGGAACTTTCTTGACATGAAGAGAACTCGCTGCCCTTTAGCGGACACGCAGCAGTCCCACTAATTGTTAATGGCAATCTTTGTTGAAGAGTCATCCAGGTTCACCATCTACATCCCGGACTGAAATGTTGGCTCGCGGAGGACACGGTCCTGTAAATCCTGATGCTTGTGCAGTTCAATAATATCTGACACAGATCAGCCCCTGCTGCATCCTCTAACAAATTTTTTTGAAAAAAAAAAAAAATTCTACTTTCTGTTATATTCAAAAAATAAAAAATAAAAATGTCCTCACGAAAATAGTCCAAAATATATTCTGCTACATGTACATTGGTAAAAAAAAAATCCCAATACGTTTGTGTGAAAGTCATGGCCTGGACTGAGCGAAGCTAAGGGGAGGGCCAGCATGACTGGGGCTTGCAGATGAGGCGGAGATTGGATTTGGGTGGGAGGATATTCAGTAGGTAGGGGCGGTTACCCACCTGATTGGAGTATTCAAGCTTGAGGGTGGTCTTTCCAGGATGAGGAGAGGGGTTAGGACTTGTCAGAGGTCAGTTGGAGGTTGTGGTTTCTCCCGCCCTTACTCCCTCCTTGGAGCTGTTTCGTTGTTTTGCTGTTTTGTTTTTTTTTTTGGTTATTGTTTTTGTCCTTTGTGTTTGTTTTCCTGACCACCACAATGTATTTTTTAAAAACTGAATTTTTTTTTTTTAGTCCATATCCATAATTAGTAAAGAAGATATAAAACAACTATACAGCCCCTGGTTGGATTCCGAAACACTGTGTTTCCCTTCAGAAGTTAAATTTAGTTCAGAGGTCTTAAATAAACCTTCTCAGGATTTCTCAGGATGTAATTATTAGCTACTCAAGTCCAGGAGCAGACAAGTTCCTTTTCCTATTAACTGCTTTCTGATCCGTCCATAAAAATTAACTTTTTCCTGATTAGCAGGTTCATAAGTAACACCGGCCTTATCTCATCCAGGCACTCAGCCATGAAACGGTCCTGAGATAGCCTGCTTATACTCAATGACAATTAACACTGGCCACAAATGAAAAGATTGCCCCCCCCCCCCCCCCCCCGGTTCTTCTAAGGGTTCATGGAAGGGTTGGTCGGCTTTTTATTACAGCGAAGATAGGATCGTTGCAGCAGTATTTTTCACTAAGGCTCACGGCTTGATTTCTCAATGGATTCGATGTACACAGCATTCCATAAACCTAACGGCAATGGCAGCACTTGATAAAAATGATCACCAATAAACAGATGAGAAATATCGGTCATAATAATTTCTTCTAATTTTAGGGCTCATGCACACGGGCTTAACCCCTCGCCTACAGGGCACTTGTACCCCATTCCTACCCAGGCCGATTTCCAGCTTTCAGCGCTGTTGCACTTTGAATGACAATTGCGCGGTCATGCAACACTGTACCCATATACAATTTTTATCTTTTTTTGTGACAGATAGAGCTTTATTTTGGTGGTATTTAATCATCTCTGAGTTTTTTATTTTTTCTTAAACAAACCAAAAACCACTGAAAATTTTGAAAAACAAAGTTTTTTCTTAGTTTTTGTTATAAAAGTGATTTTTATCCTTCACTGATGGGTACTGATAGGCTGCACTGCTGGACACTGATAGGTGGAACTGATGGGCACTGATGAGGAGGCACTGGGAGGTGGCACTGATGGGCATTGACAGGCATCACTGATGGGCACTGAAAGGCAGCACTCATATATGGCACTGATAGGTGGCACTGATAGGCGGCACTGACTGGCACTGTTAGGTGGCACTGACTGGCACTGTTAGGCTACACTGATGCACACTGATAGATGGCACTGATAGGTGGCACTGATTGGCGGCACTGATAGGTGGCACTGACTGTCATTGATAGGTGGCACTGACTGGCACTGATGGGTGACACTGAAAGGCAGCTCAGATGGGCACTGATACCGTATGTGGCATTGATGTGGCACTGATGGACACTGAAATGTGGCACCGATATGGCACTGATGGGCACTGGCAGGTGGCATGGATGAGCACTGACAGCTGGCACTGATGGACACTGACAGGTGGCACTGCTGGGGCTACACTGATCATCAGGGCACACAGATCATCAGTGATCTGATGATCTGTGTACATGTCCGCTCTGAGGGATGCCGATTACCGTCTCTCCTCTCCTCTGTCAGCGTGACAGCTCATGGGAGAGAAATACAGATAACCGGCATTTCCCTGTTTACATGTGATCAGCTGTGATTGGACACAGCTGATCACATGACCGAGCTGACATCTTTGGCTCTTTCCGAGGCACACAGCGCACCGCCAATCGCCACTCTGCGCGCTCCCGGAGCTGCGCATGAGCGGTTGGAATGGGAGGACGTCATATGACGTCCTCCCAGAATGAGAGAACCACCTTGCATCCCGTCATATTACTATATGGCAGGCGGGGGAGGCGGTTAAAGCAATATCAAACCAAAAAGCAATCATTTATTATATTGCAGCTTACCAATTCTTAGATGTGATGGCTGCATTTGTTTTCTTTTTTAGGCTTTCTTTCTTCTATTTTCACCTGGTGATCTTTTTCAAAAGAAGCTCTCCAGCAGAATGTATCAGTTTACATGGATGACACAAAGCCATTTACCACTGATAAGGGTGCCTACAATGATCAGCTTTTATTTATTTATGTAAAACCTTTATCCCAAAAGAAAAAAAACTGTTTGTTGTAACTTATTAAAAAGTGTGAGCTGCAGTTTGGCTTCAATTTGTTAAATCTGCTAGTCCATCTAACACTCCTCTCCCTCCAGACTGACAATGCTGCTGTCTGCCATGTCCCCTGTGCTCCTTCATCCAGAGTGGGGGCACTCTAATACAGGAGGTGTTACTGGCCAGATCAGTCCCATATCCTCTATCCCATGTCCTCCTCCTTTTCCATCCCATGTCTTCCTTCAGTCCCATCTCCCCCATCCCATGTTCTCTTTTTCCAGTCTCATTTCCCTCAACCCATGTCCTCCTTCCTCCTTCATCCCATGTTCTCCACCTCCTCTCGCATCTCCTCATTCCAACTTTCTCCTTCTCCTGCAGTCCCACCTCCCCCATCCTATTTCCTCCTTCTCAAGTCCCATCTCCTCCATCCCATGTCCTCCTCCTCTTCCATCCCATGTCCTCCTCCTCCTCCAGTCCCATTTTCACTATCCCATGTCTGCCTCCTCCTCCTGTCCTATTTCCTTCATACCATGTCCTCCTCCTCCATACCTTGTCCTCCACACAATGTCCTCCTCCTCCAGTCCCATCCTCACAATCCCATGTCCTCCGCCTCCTCCAGCCCCATCTCTTCCATATCATGTCCTCCTCCTCCAGTTCTATCTCTTCCATCCCAGTCATCCTCCTCCAGTCCCATCTTCATACCATGTCCTCTTCTATACCATATCCTCTATACCATGATCTCCTCCTTCTCTAGTCCTATCTCCTTCTTCCCATGTCCTCCTGCTCCTTCAGTCCCATGTCCTCCATCACATGTCCTCCTCTTCCAGTTTCATCCCCCCCATCCCACGTCCTCTTCCAGTCTCATCTCCCCATCCCACATCCTACTCTTCCAGTCTCATATCCCCCATGATATGTCCTCCTCCATTCCATGTCCCCCTCTATTTCGTCCTCTCCCATCCCATGTTGTCCTCCTCCAGTCTCATCTCCCCGCTATGTCGGTCCTCTCTCCCAGTATCCTCCCTCTATAGTTCTTCTATCCCTTCTGGGCCCTCAGTACAGCCCTGATCCAGTCCAGTATAATTCCTCCAGTGTGAATCCCCCCAGTGTAAATCCCCCACAGTGTATTACCCCCCCCCCCATGTAAATCTCCCCTGTGCAACCCCAAAGTGTAATGCCCCAACGCGATCCCTCCAGTGTAAAGCCCCACAATGCAATCCCCCAGTGTAATCTCCCAAGTGTAATGTCCCTAATGCAATCTCCCCTGTGCAAATCTCCCCAAGTGTAAAATTCTACCCAATTTAACTCTGCTCAGTTTAAATCTCCCATTACAGACCTCAAATCAGTGTGGCTCTCCCAACAGATGTTCCTCTGCCTTGGCTCCTCCTCCTCATGTTGTGGATGTAACATCAGAGTGAAGGAGGAGCCTAGGCTCCATTGGCTGTTAGGTGTGCTGTTGTGATAAGCACCCGTTATGTGTCCTGTCTGCTTGTCAATAGAACAGTTAATTGTGCCGCCAGCCCCAGGATATGCAGGACAGATGCCCAGAGTAACGAGCCCCGCCTGGGGTTCCTCGGGATGCCTGGGCCGCCTACATGCATATAGGCTGTCCCCCTGTAGGCAGCCTTGGGTATGAGATATGTCAAGGTTGATCAATGTAAGTATTCATTTAAAATTAAAAAATCTGACTGCTGCACTTACCATAATTTTAACACAAGAACAGGTCCATGATAGGTAAAATGACCCTAATCCCTTAGCTCTGGATGTATGCTTATATGTGTGTTGCACCTTCCTAGTTTAGTTAGGGGGAGCTAGAGTCCTGGTTGTCAGTGAGGAAGATTGAGTAGCAGCCTGGGTGTAACAGCCAGAAGGTCAAATTGTGGTCAGGAGCTGAGAAGGCTCTGCAGGCTTACCCCTCTGGAATTTTCCCCTGCTCTAAGGCTTTGGAGGAAGACCCTAGAGGCCCTAGAGGCAGTGGGTGGAACTGAGGAGTAGATGGTTTATACTCAGGGGTGGACTGACCATTTGGAAACTCGGGCACTGCCCGAGAGCCCAGGGTCAGTAGGGGGCCCCCGAGAGATGCCCCTGGTACCTTTTTCATAGGCTTTTTTGAGTTTGGGCAAGGACACAGGGGCCCCATGATCCCCTATTGCCCGGGGGCCCCATGAGTTGTCAGTCCGCCCCTGTTTGTACTCTTGAGGGATCCTGGCCAATCCCCAACAGGAGGTTGGAAAGGGGCCAGGACACCCTTAAAAGTGTTGGAGCCTGCTCAGCTGCAGGAGAGTTTGGGTGGAAGACAGGGAGGAAGATGAGAGACTAAAGGCAGGAGGCTGCGAGAAGGCCCAGTGGGATTGGGCCTACCTGAAGGCCTGGAGCTGGAAAGGGAGAATCACAGACTTTCACTGCCCCCAGAGTGAGGACCACTTGTATGGCAGGGAAGGAGCGGCCCAGCTGGAAAGGCCTGGTAGCAGCCACCAACCCACCAGCTGTACAGGAGAGAATCTGAGCACCCCCTGGACAGATAGTGGAAGGAGCACTCTGGTGGGAAACCAGATTTGCTGCCTATTTGGCACTGTCACCTTTTAAAGTAACAGGCACCAGATCCCCTGTCCAGGGATACCTCCAGATTGCTGGGTGAAGAGAAGTTCATATGAGGTCTGGGGTGCTACATTACGGAGATGCTGGCTATCTCTCCAACAAAGACTGTGCTGCAGGGAAAGCTGTGAATAGTTCCAGAAAGTTGTCCTCAGTTTAGCAGTTTCCTTGGGCATCCTGGACACCCTATCCCAGTTCAAATCCCCTAAATAAAACAACAAAACCATACATTTAAAGGGTCATCTCCTCTGGCTGGAAAGCATTAATTTCACCTTCTCCAATGACTGCAAACCATTTTATGAGAAACAAACACTTTCAGAATTGTTCATGACCCCCCGCGGAGAAGATGTATTTTAGAGGAAGATCTAGTCAAGAGGAAAAGGAAGGGAAAAGGTGCAGATGGCTAGACACTATTAAATCTATATATGTGTGTCACAGGAAGGATGGAGAAGTCTGCAGGGGAAAATGTTAAGGTTCAGTTTCCACGCTCACTCAAGCTTGTACTGTTTATTCTGCATTTAGACAGCGAAAACTGGCCCCTATTCAAACTGACTATGAGCAACTTCTGAGAAATCTCCCGGAAAGGACCACTATAGAAGCCCACTCCACTGAAAGAATGGTTCTGTGACTTGCATTGATGAGAGCTAATGAAGGGAAGCTGCCATTGCGAACGCAAAGGGGCCAAGTGTAATCTTGATCTGAATTTCAATACTTAGTAAATAACAGGCCAGGGAACAAGCATGCAGCCAGATAAGTCTGAAAAAGACGAACTTCTATCCTGCTCATTATTCTGTTGCAGAAAATTATTTGTACTTAACGTGTTACTAAAACCCACAACAGTAAAATCAGTCTGTATATGCAGTAAAGCATGCTTCTTATACTCACTTTGAAATCTAAGGGGTTAATTATCTGCACTCTGTAAAAAAGATGTTTGATTTTTCAAATGGTCACCATAATACAGTGTAGGTGAGGGTGAGGGGTACATAACAGCTTTCTGGCTGTATGTGGTATCTATATGTAGCGCCCTCCTAGTTAGCTAGGGGGAGCTTGATCCTAATGGTTAGTCAGAGGGTCAAATTTGAGTCAGAGTTGAATAACTCAGCAGGCCAGCCTCTCTGGAATTTTTCCCTGTTCTAGGGCTTTGGAGGAGGCTCTAGAGACAGTGGATGGATCTGTGGAGTGGCTGGTTTGCACTCTTGAGGGATCTTAGCCAATCCCCAACAGGAGGATGGAAAGGGGCTGGGCACCCTTAAAAATTGGTCACAGCCTGCTCAGAGGGAGAGTTGGGTGAAAGAATGATAAAGGATGACTTGAGGTTGAGGAAGGAGGCTGCAAGGAGGCCCAGTAGGATGGGGCCTACCTGCAGGCCTGGAGCTGGAAAGGAAGAAAGCTCAGAACTCACTGGCCCCCTGAGAGATGATCTCCTGTATGGCAGGGAAGGAGCAACCCAGCTGATAGACCTGGTAGCAGTCACCGACCCACCAGTGGTACAGGAGAGGATCTGAGTGAGTACACCTGCATCCCCTGGATGGACTGGGGAAGGAGCACTCTGGTGGGAAACCAGATTAGCCCCTACTAGTGACTGTTCACTTCTCTAAAGGGAGAGGAGCCAGATCCCCTGTTCAGGAATACCTCCAGATTGCTGGGTGAAGAGGAGGATTTCATCTAGGGTCTGGGGTACATTAACCCCTTGACGCCGACGTAACACAAATATGCGGCCTCACGGACCTAGGATTTTTTTTTCCGTGGGGCTGCATATTTGCGTACCTGTCTTTGTGCTGGGAGAGCGCGCCGCTCGGCGTGCTCCCAGCACCAAGACCGCGGTGTCACTGAGCCCCGGGTCCCGTTCTAACGATCAGGACCCGGGACTCCCGATTCCGGGTCACGTGATCGCTGTGATAGCCTCTGATTGGCTATCACAGTGATCAATCACTGTGCAGCCCGGCCCCCTTGTTTTCTCTCTCTCTATGAATGGAGAAGAGAGATACATTGTATCTCTCGAACTCCTGACACAGAGAAAAAAAAGTTTGTAAAAAAAAAAAAAAGATAAATAAATATTAAAAAATAAAAGAAAAAATAAAGAAAAATACCTAGATCAAGGTTTGATCTAGTTCAGTACCAGGGTTAGTGTTTGGGTCAAGGTCAGGGTCAAAGGTCAGGGTCAAAGGTCAGGGTCAAGGGCAAAGGTCAGGGTCAAAGGTCAGGATTTAAAAAAAAAAAATTGGTATCAGTGTCAGTTAGTGTTAATGTCAATGTCAGTGACAGTGTGTTTTATATAAAAAAAAAAAGACAAAAACAAAATGCGCACTGTTGTTTCTGGACTGTACTACGGGTACAAACAACAAATAACATACACATATATGGTATCGCTGCGATCATCAAGAACTGGAGAATGTATTTTGAGTTGTTCTTTGGTGGTAGGTTATGGTCATAACAAGAAACACACAGTTAAATTTAAAAAAATGATTTTTTTTTTTACTATTTTGGCCCAGTTTTCCTTTAATAATAAAAAAAAATTAGGAGCTATCCATGACCATTTACCACCAAATGAAAGCCCAATTTGTCCTGAAAAAAACAAGGTATAATCCACCTGGATGTACAAAGTAGTTGTGACGATATGTACGGTTTTACTAACACGTCAACGTTGCAGAATTGTGCTTAGGCATTTAGATTTGTTTTACCCTTAGGCGTGAAGGGTTAAGGAGATGCTGACTAGCTCTCCAACAGAGACTGTGCTAAAAAGGAAAAGCTTGTGAATAGTTCCAGGAAGTTGTCCTCTGTTCTTCAGTTCCCTTGGGCATCCTGTACCCCCTTACCCTATCCCAGTTCTGAATCCTCTTAATAAACCTTAAAAACAAAATCTCCAGGACTGATTTCTGACTTTGGATGCAAGCTTGTGTGGAGAATGCAGATTACCTGGCTGTGTAGGACTATAGGACTGCGGTACTTAAAAATCTCCGTCGGTGATGCTTTAAAAATCTCTACAGGTTAGCAGTGTAATGTTACAGAGGAAGTCTAGTGCGAGAATTATTGCTCTTGCTCCAACGTTTGTGGCGATACCTCATGTGTGTGGTTTGAACACCATTTACATATGTGGGCGTTGGCCTACGTATTCGTTCACCACTACTTGCAAGCATGGGGGACAGGGGCACTTGAAACTATTTTTTAAAAAAATGTATTTCATTTATTTTTTTTTTGCACTGTCCCTTTAAAAATGTTTTAATCACTTTTATTCCTATCACAAGGAATGCATGCTCAGCTGTGTGTGGAAGGTATATCACTGGTGGAGTGCAGGAGTAGAAGATTCGGGGATACAAAAGGTCCAAATAAGAGAAGGTGCGGGTAAACTGAAGGTGGAAGTTATATCAAGCGCATATGACTCGCCTGTAAAAAGAGAGTTTTAATCTCTGGAGAGGAGAGAGCTGGTATTGATACAGCATTTTTGGAGGAACAAGTGGTTACCATTAAACAACACTGTATACTGGGATAGTCCCCAAATCCGCAAACGACCATCCTAGAGATAGGTGGTTACAAGATGATGGTGACTGTCAGTCCATGTGGGGCACCATTCTGAGCGCAGTAGAGCACCTGTTGTATTGTACAAGGAGTTCACAATCAAGATTTTTGGCACCTTGCACTCTATTTTCACTTATTGGGACTGAATAAATTATCATTGGTTTATATTATTATTACTACTATTAATATTGCTTCTCACTTATTGATACAGAGCTCTCTATATATATTTATTTTGCACTATTTATGCGCAGTCCATATGGTGTTCAGAAAGATTACATAGTGCCTTTAGTCAGTGGAAGAAAGAATAGTGCCAGATCATTGGTATTAGTGGGGGGAATAGTCCCCCATCATTGGTATTAGTGGGGGGAATAGTCCCCCATCATTGGTATTAGTGGGGGGAATAGTCCCCCTTCATTAGTATTAGTGGGGGGAATAGTGCCCCATCATTGGTATTAGTGGATGTAATAGTGCCCCATCATTGGTATTAGTGGATGTAATAGTGCCCCATCATTGGTATTAGTGGATGTAATAATGCCCCATCATTGGTATTAGTAGAAATAATAGCACCTCATCATTGGTATTAGTAGGAGGAATAGTGCCCCATCATTGGTAGTAGTGGGAGGAATAGTGCTCCATCATTGGGTAGTAGTGGGAGGAATAGTGCTCCATCATTGGTATTAGTGGGAGGAATAGTGCCCCATCATTGGTATTAGTGGGAGGAATAGTGCCCCATCATTGGCATCAGTGGGAGGAATAGTGCCCCATCATTGGTATCAGTAGGAGGAATAGTGCCCCATCATTGGTATTAGTGGGAGGAATAGTGCCCCATCATTGGTATTAGTGGGAAGAATAGTGTCCCATCATTGGTATTAGTGGGAGGAATAGTGTCCCATCATTGGTATTAGTGGGAAGAATAGTGTCCCATCATTGGTATTAGTGGGAGGAATAGTGTCCCATCATTG